ACTTAACGAATTACAAAGATCTAAACGCTTGCGGACTTTCTTTACTAATGTCAGTTGCTTGTAGAAATTGTTCGTAAACTATTTCTTTTATTGCTGTATAGTGTAGGTATATATATTGATAGTATAGGGTCCTCATTGTAACATAATATAACTGGTGTATTATTTATACGTATGGAATGCATTGGAAACCCTAACGGTTATTTTCACAAACCAACATGGTATCAAGCCAAGGGTTATTCTATGGCCGCATGAAACCATCGACAATCATCTAGTGTCGATTTTTTTTTTCTTCTTCATCCAGCCGCTGCCTCTTGAAGAATTCACATCAGCAGAAAACTCACCACTCGCTGCTGTTCCCTGTTCATGTCAACTCTCACGGATTGGTGCTAGTTATCTTGCTACAATCCCTCTGCCAAAGGTTAGTGTTCTGATTTTATTGTGTGTTTTTTATTCCACGGGCTCTGTGATTTTCTGGTATTATGACAACCCCTGCTGCCACATCTGTCACAGCCCCACCAGCTCCTACATCACTACAGCTAGTTTATGCTCTAGCAAATGTGTATAATCAGTTCAGTTTCAAACTCACTACCGATGGGTCAAAATACAAGCTTTGGTGCAGAATTTTTCAAGACATCTGCAAAGGTGCTAAGGTCCTCGGACACATCATAGGAAATCTAAGCCCTCCAGTGATCATGATGAAGACTGGGAATCTATTGATGCACGTGTTAAGTCGTGGTTCTACTCCACCTGTGACCCCCCGTGTACTCCAAATTATTACCAGTGATGACTGTACAGCGAAAGATTTATGGGACAACTTGCATGAATTTTTTCTTAACAATAAAATGCCAAGGATGCTTCAATTACAGGAACAGTTTCGTAACACCCGCAAAGGCACATCTTCCATTACCGACTACTGTCATAATCTCAAGAATTTAGCTGAAGCTCTCGCCGATGTCGATTCTACAATAAATGAAACAGAACTAGTGATGCAAATCTTACGTGGACTACCCTCCTCATACCAAAGCATCATCGATGTTGTCACCAATACGAACCCTTTTCCTACATTTTTACAAGCTAAGAACATGCTTCTTGTTCATGAGGGTCGCGAAGACAATCCCGATCATGTTGTTGAGTCAATTCCCAGCCCAGCTTTATATTCCAGTGTCAATAATTCTGGAAAATCTAAGACAAAGTGGAATAAAAACCGTAATAATCATCGGGGCTCTTCCAAAGGGGGGGGGGGGTAATTCTAGCATATATTCTAGTACTAATCATGTTTCAGGTACGAGTTCGTGTCAACAATCTCAATTTGCAGGTGTTATGGGATCACATCCAAGTGTCAACAATCTCAATTTGCAGGTGTAGCAAGTTCAGATGCCGGTTCGTCTCCACAGCAACCCATGTATTACTACAGCCAATCGGGCCAGCCTTCACCCTCACCAGTGCTTGGCACACTTTCTGTCGGATCAGCCCAGCAAGTGCTACAGCAGCCGCTCCAGCCCAACATGCCGCTCCAGCCCGCTGCTCCCATGCCGCAAGCTTATCCGCATCAGTTTTTCTATGGGCAGCAGCTCATGTCAACGCAGATCAGGCCCCCAGGCCAAGTCGCAACAGCCCAGAGTTTTCCGCCTTCACCCTCCTTTTTTGGCAGCCACACCTCAGCTAGATCACAACAACAACAACCAACCGATCTCTCATCCGTGTTTCAGGCCATGTCAGTTCAACCGCCTCCCGATAATCACTACTACATGGATACCGGTGCGAGCGCCCACATGTCTTTTAACCAAGGTAACATGTCTACTCTAACACCATGTAATTCTAGATCTATTATGGTTGGTAATGGTGCAATCCTTCCGGTTACTTACATTGGTCACTCCTTTCTTCCTAACTCTCAAAACAAACTTCATTTAAATGATGTTCTGGTTTCAAATCAAATGGTCAAAAATCTTATCTCTGTTCGTAAATTTACTACTGATAATTGGGTTTCTGTTACATTTGACCCGTTTGGTTTTGTTGTGAAGGATCTTAATACAGGTTCTCTTCTCCAACGTGTCGACAGTGTCAGTGATTTGTATCTGTGCCACCCTTCATCTCCATCCAAGGCTCTTGTCACGGTCTCTCTTCCTACATGGCATCGACGTCTTGGTCATCCTGGATCCTCAGTGCTTAGTTTTTTGCATTATCGTAATTTTATTTCTAGCAACTCGAATAAGCTCCCACTTTGTCATGCATGTCAACTTGGGAAATATAGTCGTTTGCCTTTCTCTTCATCTACGTCTAAAACTTCTCGTGTTTTTAAGCTTATACATTCTGACTTATGGACATCACCTGTTATAAGCTCCGATGGTTTTAAGTATTATATTTTATTTTTGGATGATTTTTCTCATTTCTTATGGGTTTATCCTTTGCGTGCAAAATCTGAAGTTTATTCCATTTTTTGTAACTTTAGAATGTATGTCAAAAATCAATTTAAAACAGACATCCAATCTTTTCAGTGTGATAATGGACGTGAATTTAACAACCGATTACTTCTTTCTTATTTCCAAACTAATGGCATTTCTGTTCGTTTCTCATGTCCGTACACGTCACCTCAAAACGGTAAAGCCGAAAGATCCATTCGCTCCATCAACGATATTTTGCGCACGTTTCTGTTTCAGGCGTCTCTTTCCACCAAGTTTTGGGTAGAAGCTCTTCACACCGCCGTTCACACCCTTAATCTTCTTCCTACCACCACCATTTCCTATAAAACCCCGTTTGAGGTTCTATTTGGTTTTTTTCCTACTTATGATCATTTGCGTGTCTTTGGTTGTCTATGTTATCCAAACACCAGCGCCACAGCTCCACACAAACTCTCACCTCGTTCGAGTGCATGTGTTTATCTTGGCCCTGCTTCTGATCATAAAGGCCATAAATGCCTTGATCTCATCACTCAGCGTGTCATTATCTCTAGACATGTGGTATTTGATGAAGACCATTTTCCCTACTCTGAATTTCACGTTGCTCCCAGTAATTCTGAGCTAGACTCCATTGTTCAGGATGATGATGACTCTCTTTCTCCTCTAGTTGCATCTCCTGAGTGTGTTGCGTCTGCTCCCGCAACTACGACACCCTCTCCTTCCGCTACACCAGCGTCACCCCCTCTGACACCGCCTACTGGTTCCCCACATGTGCCTCTATCTTCTGTAGCGCCTGTGCCTCCTGTCGCTTCTTCTACGGTCTCTGGTCACCCTATGACTACCCGTTCTAAGACTGGTTCCCTGAAGCCGCGTACACTCTTTAATTTGTCTGCTATATCTCCCATTCCTCGTTCCACTGCTCAAGCCTTGTGTGACCCCAATTGGAAGATTGCCATGGATGCTGAAATGGCTGCTCTTGACTCCAATCACACCTGGGACTTGGTTCCCCGTCCCCCTCAGGCTAGCATTGTTGGCTGTCGTTGGCTTTATCGGCATAAATTTGACTCCCGTAGTCAACTAGATCGCTACAAAGGGCGTCTCGTAGCCCAAGGTTTCTCTCAGCAACCGGGAATTGACTTCGATGATACCTTTAGTCCGGTTGTTAAACCGGCTACTATTCGTAGTGTCCTTAGTATTGCTGTCCAGAACTAGCTGAAGTGTCAATCTCCAGGCTATGTACATCCGCAGCATCCCGATTATGTCTGTCGTTTACGCAAAGCTCTGTATGGTCTCAAACAGGCACCCCGTGCCTGGTACCAACGGTTTGCTGTATACATTTCCTCGCTAGGTTTCAAGAGTAGTCTCTCTGATAGCTCTCTTTTCACCTTTCACCGTGGACATGAAACAATATATCTTCTTCTTTATATTGATGATATTGTTCTCACTGCATCTAGTCCATCACTCATCACCCGAGTTATCACCCGTCTCTCCAATGAGTTTGCCATGACAGACTTAGGACCGTTATCTTTCTTTCTCGGCATTTCTGCTGCACGCACTTCCACTAGTCTTTTTCTTTAACAGACAGTTTTTGCAAGAGAGATTCTTGCTCGCGCTGACATGCTCTCTTGTAATCCGTGTAGCACTCCGACGGACACAAAAGCTAAGCTTTCTTCAGAAGGAAAGCCCGTCTATGATCCGACCTTGTATCGAAGTCTTGCAGGTGCATTACAGTATCTGACTTTCACTCGCCCTGATATTGCGTACGCTGTTCAGCAGGTCTGTCTCTTCATGCATGACCCACGTGAACCTCACTTCTATGCACTCAAAAGAATCTTACGCTACATTCAGGGTACTATAGGTCATGGTCTTTACATTCGCCCGTCTTATGTCGATCGTTTGGTTGCGTATTCTGATGCTGACTGGGCCGGGTATCCCTCAACATGCCGGTCCACCTCTGGGTTCTGCGTTTATCTTGGGGATAATCTTGTTTCATGGTCTTCAAAACGTCAACATGTTGTATCACGGTCTAGTGCCGAAGCCGAGTATAGGGGGGTAGCTAATGTTGTCGCTGAAGCCTCTTGGCTTCACAATCTTTTACTCGACCTGTCTTGTCCCTTAACTCGTACTACTGTTGTGTTTTGTGACAATGTGAGTGCTATGTATTTAGCATCTAATCTAGTTCAGCACCAACGAACCAAACATGTGGAAATATATTTACATTTCGTTAGGGAACGTGTTTCCATTGGTCAGGTTCGCGTTTTGCATGTTCCATCTGCACACCAGTTTGCTGATATATTTACAAAGGGTCTTCCTACATAGTTATTTACAGATTTTCGTAACAGTTTAAGCGTTCGTGAACCGCCCGCTCAAACTGAGGGGGAGTGTTCGTAAACTATTTCTTTTATTGCTGTATAGTGTAGGTATATATATTGATAGTATAGGGTCCTCATTGTAACATAATATAACTGGTGTATTATTTATACGTATGGAATGCATTGGAAACCCTAACGGGTATTTTCACAAACCAACAGAAATGATTGCTTTTTGGACAAGGTTCTTGTTAAACTACTTCCTGAACTACAGTCCCTGAGGGTGCTAAGTGTCATGGACTTGGCTCCGGGCCATGACAGAATTAGACCCACTTCTGTAATCACAAAGGTACCAGAATCCATTGGTAGTCTCAAGCATCTACGGTATCTTAATTTTTCTCATTCTAATATCACATGTTTGCCGGAACAAGTGAGTCACCTTTATAATCTACAGAGCTTATTGGTTCATAACTGTTATTGGTTATCTAGCTTACCAAGAAGTTTTGCAAAGTTAATAAACATGCGTCATCTTGATATAAGTGATACTCCAAAATTGAACAAGACGCCTTTAGGGATCGGTGGGATGACACGTCTACAAACTCTACCCATGGTCTTTATTGGAGAAGGTGACGGATTCAAAATATCGGACCTTAAGGGCCTAACAGATCTTCAAGGCCAGCTTTCCATTATGGGTCTAGACAAAGTAATAAATCCAATACAAGCAAAGGACGCCAACTTACATCAAAAGAAGGGTCTTGAAGTTTTGGAGATGAAATGGAGTGATGTGTTTGATGATGCACGGAACGATTTGATTGAATATGAAGAAGTACTTAAAGAACTAAGACCTCATCCAAAGTTAAAAATCCTCAAGATTTTGTTCTACAAGGGAACAAGATTTCCTAGTTGGGTTGGCGATCCCTCATTTGATCAGTTAACAGAGCTTACGTTATGTGGTTGTCGAAGTACACACTTACCAACACTTGGATGTTTAGGGTCTCTTAAGACATTGATTGTTGAAAGGATGAGTGAGGTGAAGACCGTGGGTATTGAGTTTTTTGCACCTACTAATTCTTTTGTTGGCATTGCATTTCCATCCCTTGAAGTTCTGGAATTTGAAGATATGCAAGGTTGGCAGAGATGGTCTATTAATAGTGGCGATGAACATGGAACTCTTACATCATTTCCTTGTCTTCATGAGATATCTATTAGATGCTGTCCAGAACTAGCTGAAGTGTCAATCGGATTGATACCATCACTTCGGGTTTTACATGTAGCAGAATATTCTGCAGAGGTGTTAAAAGGCATGGTTGGTATGTCCTCATCACTTATTGAATTGAAAATGTGGAGCGTTAAAGGACTTGCTCAACTACATGGAGAAGATTTAACGCATCTTGGGGCAGTTGAACATCTATCTATATGGAATTGTGATGAATTGAGATACTTGTGGGAACGAGAATCGGAGGCATGCAAAAGTCTTGTGAGTTTACAGAAGTTGGAAGTATGGAATTGTAAAAAGTTGGTTTCATCAGCCGAGAAAGAGGACAATTTTGGGATTAGCATGAAATCTGTAAAAGAAGTGATGTTTAGTAATTGTGAGACATTGGAGAGTTACAATTGTCCAAATAGTGTTGAGAGGTTGGAAATCAACAGTTGTGGTTCAATGACATCCTTGACCTTCTCAGCAGTGCAGGAGCACCCATCCACTCTCACTGAATCAATAGTCAGTGATTTTGGTTTTCTCCCCATGTCTTGCCTAACATTTCTTGATATCGGTTTTTGCAAGAATCTAAAGTCATTATCTGATGAGCATTTTCAAAGTCTCACATCTCTGAAAGGCATGTGGATATATGATTGTCCAAGTATGGACTACTCCTTCCCTTGTGGGGTGTGGCCTCCTAATTTAAGAAGTCTAACCATAGGAGGCTTAAATAAGCCCATGTCCAAGTGGGGCCAGCAAAATTTTCCAGCTTCACTAGTTTTTCTACATTTATATGGCAGAGACTCAGAAGTGGTTTCATTTGCAGTGACAGATGATGTGAGGAATACTATTACTCCGTCATCATGTTTTCTTCTTTCACCATCTCTGGTATGTCTAAGGCTTGAAGGTTTTAACGATGTGGAATCATTCTCAGAGGTCTTACAACACCTCCCCTGCCTTAAAAGACTTGAAATTTTTTCATGCCCTAAGATTACACATCTTAAGAACATTTACGACCCATCAAATTTGACGATAATGGTGCGGCAGTAGAAAAGGTTTGTCATCTCCTTTCCGTTCATCCCTGTATAGCTTATTATAATTAGTATTTGTTAGCAAATGTGAAAGAGGGTTCTAGGTCTTGTATCTCTCTTTGACTTTTAAACGTATTGTGTTTCTCCTAAAATATACATCACATTTTTTTTTTTTTGGATTAATGTGATATTCCATTTAAAGTGACGGTCATCTCTGCATTCCTTTTTTCATTATTTATCCAAAGTATTTGAAACATTAATTTTAAGACTTGTTTGTTGATAAGATATTTTTTTTTTTTTTAACTAATAATCAAACTAGTATCGAAAGAAGAAAAGACTATAAATGCAGCAGTTGAATAGCTCTTTGGTTTTTGTGGAATTCTGCCATTAATTTTCTTGTTTCCATTTGAGGAAGAATCAAATGAATACTTGTATCTTACTGTTTGTTATATAGGTTGCAACTGTGTTATTTTACCTGCACTCTCTTCCAACATCTTTGTGTTTGTGTTTTCTTTTTTGTTGTAATTTGGTTTGTTTTCACTGACGTTTGGTTCCAATAACATTGTCAACTGTTGAAGTAATTACTAAAAAAATAATAACGAATTTGGACTTCAATCCAGAAATTTTGACCTTCCAGGTCAAACCCATTGTCATTAAAATATTGATTTGATACATTTTGTACAAGTTTGGCACCATCTTAATCCCTTTTCAGAGTTTATTTTTTTACAAATTTGTATCGATTTCGAGGTTAAAATTAGTCCATTTGACATTAAAACTAATTCTGATTTGGTAGAAATTAACATAGTCAAACTTTGTATAGCATGATTATGTCTTTTTATGCGGTTGTCCTTTTCTTATTGTCTTGAGATCATATTTAAAGTATGATCGGTGATCAGTATCATAAGGATCATGTAAGTCCACATATTCTAGACTTCAAATGAGATTCTTTCTGAAACCATATTTAACAAATCCAATTTTATGCCATGTTGAGATGTTCCTATAAATGAGTTTTATTCTATAAGTCACTCAATTTCTGTAGGCAAAATATGGAGATATGCATCAAGTGGTTACACAGCTGCAGCATTCAATATCATAGTCCACAGGATGGAGGCTGTTGAAGGTCATTGGATTGTAGAGACTACCAAAGGTACAAGTAAATACCAAATACAAGTTCAAAATATGAGATATATGATGGATGTGAGCATGCATTGGTTAATTGATCGAAGCTGTTGAAAGTTGTTTGGTATTTTTGATTGGAATTTCATTTTAAATGGGTTGTTTTGAAATGCATTGTAGATTTGTACGGCGGATTCTTTTAAGATAATTTGGAAATGTTCTCGTTCACTGACCTGGAACTCCATTATCTCTGATTAATTGATTGAATTAGTAACTTTATGAAATGAATATTGGTTAATGAATCACAACTCAGAGAACGCTATCAACCTTAATTATAAGATTGATGAAGATGTTTGATTTAATTAGGTTTGAAGACCGGATAAAAAAAACGCCAAATAATAAAGAATACCATGTAAACACATTTAACCGGTTATACCTTAATCACACGTCGAAGTTGTTGATTTTGAAACAGAGTTGAAGCTTGGATGGTTTTATTCAAAAGAAAATCTATGATTTATCCACAAACTATACGTACAAACTATGCTAATATGTTTATAATCTGTCCTACAAGTTTATATTTTGTAATAAAAGTTAGTGTTAATTTGGTGATATTGGTGTTGATAAATAATTGGTGAAAACCTACAATCATTAATATTTCAGTGGTAAAATTAAGGACAATGTTAACCCATATTTATAGTTTATTTCATCTGGATTATCAGAATTCTTTTCAGCGCCCAAAGTTTAATTTTTGTTTCATTGTTATGATATTTTTTTAATTTTTTAACAATAAAACCGGTCATCTCTGTTAAAAAGTAGATCGATTTTACTAGATAGTAATCAGACACAAGATGAAACATAAGAATAAAAAATTAGAATGTTTTAAGAGTTTCCAATAATTCAGACCTGTCAAGACATAAAAGAAAAAAATGACATAAATACTCTACATACCGTGGCCACTCTTGCAGCCGTACGTGTGATGAGTTATTAACATCAAGTGTGTTACCTTGCTGCAATCAAGTGACACACATAGGTGTAAACGACGTTTGTACCCCTAGCAACATACTTTCATTGATTTGTTTATGGGATAATGATTTAAAAGGTCTAATATACTTTTCGATTTGTACGCATTTGGTCATTGAGTTTTTTTTTCGTCCACATTTACACCTTTAACTGTACAAATTCATTTCTTATGAAGAACTGATTCCTCCAAGTAAGTCGAGAAAAATGACTTAATAGAGTAATATATTTCGCATTTTATACATATTTGTCCTTAGTATTTTTTTGCACATTTAGTCGTTAATATATTTTTGTTGCAAAATAAGTCTTTGTTGTTTTTGTACACATTTGGTACTTATGACCGGTTTCTTTAAGTCTTTCTCATGGCATCCTACGTAGGACAATAATTAATGAGGTGTTCAGGGTTGTTGATGCTTATGGCCACTACGGCCTCTGCTGCTTGGTTGCTTAGCACTTGCGGTTTGGCTTAGGTCTTGTTTTATGAAGATCGTAACTTCTTCATATGATTTCGGATTTTAACGATTTCTATACTGATGTGTTTGTATTTGAATCTACTACAATTTTTGTTAAGATTAGTCCCATTAAAAAGTTATAAAAAAACACATGGATATAAAGATCGTAAGTAAAAATGTATTACTTTTTAACAGGAGTAATCTAAACGAAAGTTGTTGTCGACTCAAATACGAATGTGTGGATATAAATCATTAAAATCTGAGATCGTATGAAGAAATTACGACCTTCAGCAAACCCACAAGACCTAAGCAATCAAGCAGTCGAGGCCGCATTGGCCATAATCATCAACAACCCCGAACACCTCATTAATGATTGTCCCATGTAAGATGCCGTGAGAAAAAAAACTGAAGAAACTGGTCATAAATACTTAATGTCTACAAAAACGGCTTATTTTGCAACTAAAAAAAATATTAAGGACAAATGTAAAAAAACTATTAAGGACTAAATATGTACAAAGTGAGAAATATATTACTATATTAAGTCATTTTTACCGGCTTACTTGGAGTCGCCGGTCATAAGGACTAAATGTGTACAGTTTAAACAAGTTGAAGGGGTAAATGTGGACGCAAAAAAAAACTTCATGACCAAATGTTTACAAATCGAAAAATATATTACCTTTTTAAGTCATTATCCCTTTGTTTATATATTATAGCATTCTACTTTCGTTTCTTTCTATTTTAGCAATATCGTCTCTCACAAAGTATAGTGTCCTAATAAGGTATTAGGAAAAAATTGAAAGTACAATGTTGTAAGCAGGTTAATTTTTCAATTTAAATTGTCTTAATAAGGAAAAAATGAAAATACCATGTCGTAATAAAAAGATATGCAAGTAGGACCGTATGAGATACAAAAACAGGAATGTAGATTTGTATTTCTTGCATTATACCTAAGAAAAACTTTGGTGTTATATCATGGGGGAGGAACTTTACAGACAGTAACAGAGGTCTATCGACATACAATATACTAACAATATATCTGTTAAAATTACTAAAATCTCCCTGGTTACCGGATTTTCCTATACAGTTAATGACTTTTTAACATATAATAATTACAAACAGGAACATGTCAAGTAATATTAAAATAAATATATTAAGAAACAAGAGTAAACCTCAAGAATGGTGCAGGCAGGTCATATGTGAAACTGATAGTATTAGTATAGGCTGGTTAAAAGTGGGTCGTATAAAGGTTTATAAAGTCCATTTCCCTTTGCAAGCAACCGGGTCCTATTTCGCTCAAATACCATATAAATTGTTTAGTAATTACAAAACTTATGTATAACAACTTATTATTTTATTATAGAGAGAATACATAAATCTTGTTAGGAAACATCAACATTAGCACAGGCCTCCAAAGAATGTAAGAACAAATTGATCTTTAAACAATATAAGGTGAAACTTTTGGCTATCTTACTGTTTCCACAGAAGTTAAACCAAAAACAATTAGATAAATGAAATGAACGGGCTGAAATCATCACAATTAAACGAAAAACTACACAAAGACCAGATTACTCTCATCATGGTTCATACATTATCAGTTTATTAGCCTGTAAATTGATGTTCTCATTCAATACGTCTTTGATTTTTATTTTATAGAAGACCTTCAATTTGAATTCATCCAGGATTCCTAATTACCCATAACATTTAATCAACCACACCATATGACAACAAACAATCAACAAGGGGCAGATCAAAGTTCAAATATTAGCACAACAATGAAAGTCATCAGCTTGAATAGCTGTTCACTAGCAACTAAAAAAGCTTGAAGATACACGAGAAAAAAAGCATCAACTGAAGAAAACAGGATGCATAAAGTACTAAAGTATCAATAACCATTGGGAATATGTGAACTATTCTACGTGCATTCTCACACAAACCACAAGTATGCAATTTCTGTGGATGGTGATAAAGGCCTGTCAAAATTCTCAACAAAACAGATTTAAAAGTACCTAATTACTTACTGGAAAAGCTTACGACGCCTTTGGGCCTATATTAGATGCTGCAAGACTCAAGATGCAAGTTAAGAACATTCGCATTCTTACAATTTCTATTGAATGTACTCTTATTTTGCTACCTGAATTTATATTGACATGGTGTTAATTTACATAATAACTACCAGAAATGATATTAATATGGGCTAATTACTAATCTAGACAAATTAAGTAATTAACCATTTTTAGCCAAAAATTAGGAATTGTCCCAAAATAGCCCACAAAACCGTAGGTATTTTAGAATCGTCTACTGTTTCGCTAATTCGTCTGCTGTTTCGTGTTTAATATATAAAAATAAAATAAAATAAAATAAAATAAAATAAAAAATCATTTTGAAGAAAGCACAATGGATAAAGTAATTGGGAATAGCTTACTGGAAAAGCTTATGAGGCCTTTGGCCCTATATTAGATGCTGCAAGACTCAAGATGCAAGTTAGGAACATTCATATTCTTACAATTTCTATTGAATGTACTCTTATTTTGCTACCAGAATCCATTGACATGGTGTTAATTTACATAATAACTAGCAGAGATGGTATTAATGCATATATAATATCATCTCAGTTGAAAACGTGGAGATAAGTTACTTTGTGGGGGTTAATTACAAATAGTCTTTTTTTTCTCAAACCCTAACCGTTGAAGGTTACTGTGACTAGCTGCAAAAAAACGAAGTACAATTAGCCAACCAGACAACTACAGACGCCAAATTAGACGGACTAATGGAACGATAGACAAGTTTTCAACATAGGTACTAACAGATGTTATGTTTTACCAGACCCTATAGAGCGAACTCGGTGAAGAGTAGGGCCACGGATAGCAGATCGCTAGCGGCAGCAGCACCAGGGCAGGGTGACGGAGTGTGGGGAGGGAGATAGGGTAGGGGGGACGATCAGTAGGAAGGGCGAGTTCACGCAATAATATTTCGAATACATTTATTGAAATCGTGGATGTGGTTTGTCAAAAACAGAAAAACTAGATTATAACCTACCCACAAAAAAAACTACCGATTGTTTGATATATTTATAGTAGATTATAACCTACCCATAAAAAAAACTACCGATTGTTTGATATATTTATAGTAGATTATAACCTACCCATAAAAAAAACTAAACGATTGTTTGATATATTTATAGACAACTTTTTATGTTATAAGGAATTAGATGTATTAATAGATTAAAATGAATTTATTTAATTCTTTAATATATATATTAAACAAAATTAATATCATAAAACAAAATAAGAAATGAGTTGACGATTAAAAAAATTAACGCTATCTTTGATATCTTTTTCATCGGCCACTGATTAACACGTTGAATAATATCTTTAACGTGATGGTCAAATAATACAAAAAAACAGACTCCGTTTCATATTGAACACGAATTATGACCCTCACCATAAAAATTATACAATGACACTTTAATGGACAATGAAATAAAATTGGTAACATTCGAATATAGATTAATGACACAAGAACTTTATAATGTAAAATTATGAAATTACTTGTTGTAAACATCAGAAACTCCACCACAACCATCACAAGTAACTGGTTCAGCATTAGTATCATCATCATTATTGCTTACTTTTTATGAATAGTCACGACAATAAAAAGAGTATCAGCCGTCGTCCAAATCAAAACCGATGACAGTAGCAACGATGGACAAACCAATTTCCTATTTCATAAATTTT